TAGGGAAACAGTAACATCAATCTCCCAATTTAACAACCAACCAAAAACATAAGAATGACCTATTCAGAAAGCTACAGTGAAAAATCAAAGGCTCTCTCATATCCCTCTAAAGGTGGTGGTAGCAGAGGAGACAACAACAGAAATTAATAACCTATCAAAATAGGATGTAATAGGATGTTCTTGAATAACTGTGCAGATCACATTTAAATAAGGCTCTGTGTTTTATCTCAAAGGCCTATACTGCAGTTAATGCAGGTTATAACAATGTCAAAGAAACACTGGTGTGTACTAGCCTCCAAAGACCACTCCAGAACATCCAGAAGCAAACAGTATTATAGCAGGGTTTTCAACACCTAATGTAGTTTGTGCCTCCCTGCTTTCAAACAACTCATTCTGCAAAAATTCAATTGTTACTCAAAAAAGCTTTTCTATATCTAACTGTTCAAAAATCTTCTTACAGCTACATTTGAAGGCTTATCACTATAAATGTAATTTTTCAGGCTTCTCTGAAACACAGAATTCAGCTGGATGACAAGCTAAAGCATGACTGAGACTAAGAATCTGATTACAGACATCACTGGTCTCCTAGTGTGCCAAAAAACAATTCTAAGCTTTATGAGTAGTTGCTGGAGTACATACCCAAAGCAACCTGCAAATAAGCTTCAAATTTCAACTGTACTGCAAACTGAAAGAGATCTATAAAGACTTGTTTCAGTCTTGTTCAGAATGGTGAGAAAAAGAAGCATTACTTCATCTTCATACAAAAGTCTATTTAAAAAGCCAACAGAAAGATACCAAATTAATAATTTCTTGGACAACACATTTTGTAAGTTTAAGTGTATGTAACTTTAGACTGATAAAAATCAAACCACAACACACAGCAAAGAGACAGATGTTTCAGAGAATATTCTACAAAGCAGGGAACACAGAATACCTTCTCATATTCCTGGCATCACCATGCAAGTGTGGTTTCTCAGAGATCTGCACACACAGGCTTGCAGGCTGCCTCCTCCTCCTACCTCCTTAATGGCCTCTGTGTATTCCCACTTGAGGAAACTCAATAAGCATTAATGTTTTGCAAATGGCAAACTAAGGAGCACTTGTTAAACAATAACAACTCTCCATTCTCAACATGGGAATTCAGATCTCTAGCCAAATCAGGACCATACACAGATATTCAAAACTGCAGGAGTTTTTCCTCAGATGGATGACAAAATATCACCGGAACTGACAGCAAAGCCCCACTAAAGCTACCCTCTTCTACACAGAAGTGGCAAACCCACACTAAATCCCTGACATAGTAACAACTCCTAGTACATAAGCTAATTCTCTTACAAAAGCTGTGACTGCAATATTATTTTCTGGTCTTGTTGACCATTTCACACTATCTAACAATAGTTTTACAAGTTATTTTCATATATACCTTTAATTTTTCTTAACAATATTTAAGTCTTTAGTTTCAGTAAGAAACCAGATCTCATTTGGTAAATTTAGAAAAAAAAATTCAGTCACCCTATTTTCCTCAAGATATA